GATAATTTATATGTACAGTTCAACAATATCAAAGCGGTAAAAAGCGGACATGTAGTACATTAGGCACACATAAATCACAATATATACAAAATTAATAAAGCCAAATAAAAGTCAACATGTACAATCTCGAATTCTGAAAGTTCCCCAGCAGAGTCGCCAGAGCTGTCACACTCATTTTTACCCCCCCCCAAAAATATGTGTGGATTGTTGTGGGTTAAAGAATTTTTCCAATTAAAGTGACAAATTTGTGTAGAGATTATTTTATTTACAGAGTCGCCACTTGGAATAGATTTCTGGGTATTCCAAGTCACATTTTATTTGAATCCCTATTCAAAGGAAGATTTGACTCTTTTATTATTTGGTCTGCGAAAATAAAGTACGGGTAAGGATTTTCTGTTGACCAGGGAGAAGGTGTAAGGCATTTTTCGAGTCCCGTGGTTCTAGCAAGGTCTCTTTATCGACTATATTTGGCTTATATTAATTTTGGACAAACTATGATTTATTGGTTTTCATATTTTATCTATTTGCTTTTAATTCTTGATTATTAGAATTATTAAAAAAAATAATTTGGATAATATTACGTTGTCATAACCACGCTACGCAAGCGAATGCGCAATCGAATAACAATATTAATTAACTTATCATAATTGCGCCTCGTAAGCGAATCCAAAATCATGACAATCAATTATTTGTATTACTTTTGAGAAATTACTACATTTGAGAAAATTAATTCTTGAAAATTATTAAAAGTAAACTATCGCGCTATGCAAGAGAATCCACGATTTTAGAAAAAGATTAATTAAATTAAAAATTAACAAAAACTAATGGGTATGGTATGAGATTATTGAATTAATTTATTGAATGTTAAAAATCACGCTACGCAAACGATTCCGTGAAGTTAAAGTGAGCCTGCTAATTGCCTAGCATTTAAATTTTTTTTAAAACAATAATAGTTAAGTTATTTTTTAAACCATAATAAAAAACTAATTTCATTAAAATTATTTGACTAAACTAAAATGTAAGAACTAATTAGAATTATTTTAAGAGAATGCACTAGCATATTCTATTTACTTTGTCGACATTAGGCTTGCCAAAATTATTTTTAATTTGGCCCAAAGTATAGTGGACCTTACATGACAAAAGAAAGCTCTACTTACTAGATTACTAAGTATTCGGCCAGCTCAAATAAACAAAAGTGCTGAAATTAACAGGCCCAATAACCTCGGTAAATTTCGAAACCAACCCAAACAAAGACACTAGAGTCTTGCAACTTCATATCTTTACCCACGAAACTGAATCCCATCAAACTCAATATTAATTGACCAAGACCCAAACTGTAATGAATGATAAATCCTATAAGATTGTATCAAGTAATTAAGAAAACAAGGATTCATAACAAACCTTCAAAAGGTCACACACGACATTATATTTAACTATACATAAGAATCTATTTTTATTTTTTAAAACTTATCCAAAATTACTTAAACAGGTTATGAGATAGCTTCATCAAATGTTTAAACATCCAATAGAATCATACAATGAATGATCCATATCAAGTTTTTTTTTTTTTTAAAATATTGACAAAGAGTTTAAGGAATTGGACCTTTGTATTGAATCTGAGCTTTTGAGTTTTACAGCAGGGAAATTACAAAGCAAACAAGACCGAGACAGGACCTCGATGAACCAGACCTCGGCGGACAAAATTCGAACCTCGACGGCACAATAGACTTTGGACTCGACCTCTTTGAACTTCTTTTAACTTCAGTAGAGGGAAATAGCTTTTTACCGATTTTTGGTGACTGTTTTGGGGTGATTCTAACTGGGTTTTGGTGTTGATTTTGGCTGGGTTTAGGAGCTATTTTTGGGCAGACTTTCAAGGCTGTTGATGGGTGTTTTTAGGGGTGGATTCCTGGACGTGGGGATGAGCTGGTATGGAGCTGAATTTTGCAGCTATTTTTTGTTGGTTTTAATGTGGTTTTAATGGAGTTTTACATGATTTTGGGGCTGGTTTCGAGAGCTCCCTTTAGCTGGAGTTTTGGTGGTGTTTATCGGAAGAGATGAGGGGAGAAAGATGAGTGTATGATTAGGAATACGAAGAGGAAAATAACTGCCCCCTCTTTTTTGGTGTAGAAAAGAGATCCGTTTATGGAGGAAGTTTGGTGTGTTTTAATGGCTGAAATAGGGTATGAGGTTTGTGAGTGGGGGACAAGCATGGGGGACAAGGAGTAGAGAATAAGGGAAAGTGGAGTATAAAGAGTGAGGGACAAAGAGTGGGGAGCAAAGGAAAGTGGAGTGGGGACACGCGTGGGATGATGAGAGCGGGAAAGATGGAGTGAGAAGTGAGGTATTGGTGAGATGAATGAGAAATAATTCAAGCATGAAAAAAAATTAGGTGCTCACACCAACTCTTCAGTAACACAAAATTATATCACCGGAAAGCAGGGGGACTATCTGTATAGGGTAAAATATGCTATGACACGTGACCGTCCAAAAAAGGGACACGTGGAACCCAAGACGGGGGGATGGCCAAAGACCGAAGGCAACTGTTTCGTTTGTCACCGGAAAGAATAACGTTCATAAAAATGTAATAAATGATCTTCACCCGATAGCATTTAATAAAGAATATTTCATGGCATTAAGAACAATTAACCGTTACAGGGAATTTGATATTTATATTCACCGTTACATCTTCATCAATGCTTCTCATAATTGACATTAAAGAAGGGCACGATCCTAGGACCTCATTCATAGCTATAAATAGAGAGCTGAGTTGTCATTGTACATGATACGAATTTTCTGGCAAACTTACACTACATCCTATACAAACTCAATACAATCTTATCTTCTTACTTTTTGATCTCGCTGTTATTGTGCCCGAAAATTCTATTCCCGGAACTATTGTTTCATCTATATCCCAAGGCTAAGTATTGCATAATTTTTCGATTATTTTATTATTTCAGGATCAAATTAATTTACTTGTCTATAAACCACGTATAAATTCAACTGTACCATTTTACAGGTAAACATTCGTGTGGCGAACGACCATCTTGCAAAAAAATTTCATCATTACTATTTTTTCTAAAATTAGTTGAAAATTAGCTTTCCACATCCTTTTTTGATAGATAGGGAAGCCGAGGTACTTACTAAAGTTATTCGTCTCGCTAAATAACTAGAGATAGAAGTCTTGACGTTATTTTCCTTTGTGTTCTTACTCCTTTGAGTAAAGGATCCCAGACTTTTCAAAGTTCATTGTCTGACAAGATGAGATAAGAAAAAAGAATTGAGACTGTCGATTATTGAGTGATTGAGTCACAGTTTTTTTAGTCAGAATCAAGTCATCAGCAAAAACAAGTGAAAATATGGAAACACCAATTGTTGAGATTTTTATATTATATTGTTTAGGGATAAAACTTTTTCTTAAAACCTAGGTTTTGGATTGGATAAGGTAAGAGGAATGGAAAAGGAATCCTAGCTTATAGTTTTTTTTTGGGGGGGCATTCCTAGTACCTTCACATGGTGAATTAAAATATTATCTTCCAACCTTAGGACCTGCTCAAACCATGGTTTTGCAGTCAAATTAATGATTTCTCAGAATATACATATAGGACATCACGTAGGATGTATTCAAGTCAATTATTAGACTATGGATGTGTTTGGTTGGAAAATATTTTTCTGGAAAACAAGTGATTTTCTTATTTATTTTATGGTGTTTGGTTATATAGAAGAAAATATTTTTTGAAAAATAAATAATTTAGACAAACAATATGGGAGACAAAATGGGTAAGGCCGGGGAGGACAGTGGGTCGTAGTCTAGGGGCCGGGGTTACGATGGCGAGAGTAGGGGTGTATTGGGCGGGTGAGGGGATAGGGAGTAGGAGTGGAGGGTTTCATAGAACATTGGACGTACCCATGGATGTCCCATATATGGAGAGGCGAGGTAGAAGTCTGATTAATGGCGCTTTATAAGTCGCAAATGACAATTGCCATATATAAGTTGCAATTGCGGATTAAATCGCTAATTAAAAATGCGACTTAGATATTGCAATCGACAAATGCGACTTTCGTGCAAACATTATATTTGCGTTCAGAAATTAATTAAATATATACAATACGTTAAATTTGGAACCTGGTTATTAGCAGTTAAAGTAGTTGTTCTATAATGGTCTCCAAACATCCATTTCTAGCTAACCTCACGTGAGACGATGTTTTAGAATGTTTAGACATAATACTTGTAAACGCAGTTATCGTTTACTACGTTTTGCAAATCGTTGTGATCTTTTGAAATATTATGGAAAATGTGTACAAATTCTCATATAATTCAAGGTCTCTTTTCTTTACTCATTGCTACATATGTAATTTCCATTCTCCAAGTCCTTTTAGAGCTATCTTCAACTTGTACATGGCTATAATAATTAGTTTCCATCAAATAAAAAGAACTAGAAGATATTAACTTGGTGAAAGAAGATGAAACTTTGTCATATATATTAGCTTTGATCATAAAGCTTTACGTACTCTTTTAATTCTATTTATTCCTTTATTCTTGTAAAACCTATTCCCTTAATCAATTTTCAAATTTTAACTTAGGCATTTGTAGTTATTCTTTTCATAGCTAGCGAGTGAGATACATTCATTTACAATTTCAAAATAACTGACTCTAATTTAGGTTTATGTTTTATATGCAGTACTCAAAAGCAAACGCCTCAACAGCACGTTTGGGAAGTCACAAAGATAACACAAATTAAAAAAAAAAAAAAAAAACATATCGTTGGAAGGAAAATTAATTTGGAAATACAATACATCTGATGTTTTGGAATTGCAAATAAAAGTGAAAGAGCGAGGAAAAAAAAGCAGCTTCAAGTATTTGAATTGTGATATCTCTTTTTAGACGTTCCAATTCAAATTCTTGATCCACCCACAAAGTAAAATAGTAGCAGTAACAAACAACAAGCAATAGAAAGTAACAAAGTCTCAAATAAATAGAAGGGGCAATGGTAAAGGAGCTAAAGAACGGGGCGTGGTGAAGTAAGAGTGCTAGGGCTGAGAAGAAGAGAACAACACCATGCAAAAGAAGCAGGCGATAAAGGGAAATTAGCTAGCGGACTGCATGATCCAAAATAATTTTCTGATGGATTTTGAGGCGTTCCATGTGATCTTTCTTGTGCTTCAATTGTTGAGTCATTGTAGGCCGCACTAATTGATTCAACTCGGTTGTTTGAGGAGGTAGAAGGACGAAGGAACTGTCGCCATTCTGCAGCAATATTGTTGTTTCTTGGTAGTGAAACTGGTGAGAGATCAAGTGGAGGAGGAGCCACATCTTGTAAACGCCTCGAGCTGGAACTAGAACTAGAACTAGAACCGAAACCAGAACCAGAACCAGAACCAGAGCTAGAATCGGAGCTGGATTGAAACTCAGGTGCTGCAGTCAACATTTGGACGACTTCCTTGAAATTAACAGGTTCCACTCTGTAGATTTTAGGACGTGTTGGTGGCAATGGGGCAATTGGTTGTTTAGTCATTGGTTTTAATGGGAGCCTACGAACTCCATGAAATGACGAATGATATGAAGGTAATGGTTTGCTTTTCTTTACTTCTTGTGGATATGGAATAGAACTAGAGGAAGAAGAAATAGCTGCATATGAATAAGAATCCATTTTAATTTTCTATGTTTCAAACTTTTTTGTAAGTTTGTATTAGCAGGGAATATAACTTACTATGAATATATTTTGAGGCTTTTGCTTTTGCTTTTGCTTTTATATATNCATATTCTTATCGTTTTAAGTTATTGAGTTCTAAATTAATAATTTATATATGTTTAATGAATTTTTTTAAGACAAATATAGAGTTCGAATCAAATCTATTGGGTTCGGCCGAACCCGCAGCCGGTATTCTATCTCCGCCCCTTGCTGAATACGATGTAACATTACAACTTGCCATGTCTGTCTGTTTAATTAGTAGTGCTCTTATTTGACCTCTATTATAAAATTGCCTCCATTATTGTTTCTATTTTATATATTTATAGCCCCTATGAATCGATCTGTTCTATCTGTACTAAGTCACAGAGTGTTAATTCAACTTCTGAATTAACAAATAAAAGACAATTTTTAAGTTTTATGTGTAATATTGTTTTCGCAATTATCTGGCAGGTGTTTACGGGTAGTGCTGACTGCTTAGCCGCCACCCCTATCTCCTCTCTCCTCCCTCCTCTTTTAACGAATAAAGTTGCTAATGCTATGATCTAAAATGAAAATATGGTAAACGTTCATAATAAGAGGAATTAATAGCCTAGAAAATAAGCAGACAATAGAATTCTTTTTGGTTTCCCTCACACTTCGTAACAAAGGCAACAATAGAATAGGTTAAAATACACTAATGGTGTATAATTTCTTTTTATAATATTAGTGATTAAAAGTCGATAAAAGTGTTTAATGCTTCATCATCCTCAACAAAGCTTAGTCGATCAAAATCGAATAGGTTAAAATATACTTAGGGGTCGTTTGGTTCATGGGATAAATTCAGTAAAATAATCTCAGAATAAAGTGTGAGATAATTTTATCTTGTTTGGTTGGATTTTATGTTAGGCATAAGGAATCTCAGAATTAGTTAAATTCACAGTTTTGGTATTATATCTATTTTCAGATTCAATGTGTTATACAAGTCCGGAATAAAATAATCAAATGACATTAATAACTTTCTCCAGAACTCTTCTCCCAAAGTCCTTCGAGAAGGTCAATATTAAAATCTAAATAAAAGTTTATCCAAATTTATGTTGTAAAACTAGACATAAGTTTTATTTTATATTCCGTATATCCCCTTTTAAATCCAATAAACCAAACATATAAAAAAATAACTCCACGAAATAATCTAGTTATTATTTACTTCCCAGTGTAAAATATCTCGGTATTGTGTAAAGATTCTGTACATTATTGTCTACGCGTATATTTAAATCCAAATAAAAATATGGTAGAGGTTTCTATTATCTTATGTTTGTTGAAAATATAGTTTAAGAGAATTATACAAATTAGTAGTGGATGTTATATTAAAATGTTAATTAGCACTTTACTGTTTTTTTTTCCCTCACGAACTTGATCTCTTTTTTTACATTGCTCTAAATAAAGAATCTACTGATCCTCGTTCTGTATATCAAGGAACTGCGTTGAGGTGAAACTAAAAAAATGCAGAACATAATAATCGAAACAACAGGATTTGGGATAAGTGAAAATAGCACAAGAAGTACTAGCAGTTCAAGGTAAAGTTGTTTCTGCGCAGCCTATAGGTTACGGGTTCGAGCCGGGGAAATATCCACTAATATTTGCTTAAGGGTAGATTGTGACAAGGATTTCCATGATGGCCTTGGCACAAAACCTGAAAAATGGAGCAACATCATGATTGGCAGCTCGACATGATGTACTAAGGGTTGACAAATGCACCTTGATGGAGGCAAGGCGCGTTTCACATGGACGTGCGGGTTGACATGACAATGAAAATGCAAAGCCATGTCAAAGCAGGGGCCACGACATGACAAGGCAAGGCAAGACAAGCAATGACATGGGCGTGAGCAGATTTGATCAAGTCCGGGGAGACTTGACAAGAGCAAGCAATTATGGCAGCTGACGTGTGCGGCTAAGTCATGGGCGACAAGTTGTGGCAATGATATTGGGGTGGAGCAGTGTCAAAGGGCAAGGCGGGGCGCAATGCCATCCTTGGGTACACAACAGCTGGCCAAAAACAGGCACAAGCAGCGGTTACAAAAAGTATGTTGGACACATGACACTGCAGTTGAGCGGTTACAACCACATCCAAGCATGACTGATCATGGGTGCTAAGTGGATGCACGTTTTTGTAGCATGTCTATCATGTTTGCCTATCAGTTCAGACTTGTCGACTGATTGTCTTAGATGCTGTCAAGTGTAATTGGGCAGCCTGCACTATAGAAATATGCATAAGGCTGCTCAAATGGGCAGAACTTAGTCTTGTGGCAAAATTGTTAGCCAAAAATGTCTAAGTGTATTCCTAAGGATGAAAAATCATTTTGGGACAAGGAACTAGGATATTCTTTGTTCTTGGCCATAGGGTTGGCTTTATTGTGTTCTTGTATTCACATATTAATACGAGTTGGGAAGCAATTTCGTGTGTGTCTTTACTTTACTTGTTGCCTAAATTTTTCTAAGTCTTGAACGTCCCTAAAATTATTATAAGTGTTGGAAGGCTGAGGTCAAGGCTGGGCTTGACTGCCGCACAGTGGAAAACCTCGGGAAGATTTCAGACTGACCTAAATCACCCCGTGACAATACGGACGTTTCAGTTTGTTGACGTTATTAACTATGTATAATTTGAATTTGATAGGTTAAAATGAATACCGTCAAACAGTTCATTAAAATGAACATTTTTGGATAATTGCTAGGTATGTGTATTACACCATATGGTTCAAAATTGGAAACAGCCAATATAACAATTCAACATATTGACTAGATCAAACCCAATGAGTTACCATGATAAAGACTAAAGAAGAATGTTGGCTTATTGTTCGTGTGGGCATCCCACACATAATTGCATTATTATTATAATTCTCGAAGCAAACAATTCTTCTACTGATTACGATATTTTGGCATATACTATAATGATTGTACTGTCTTTTATCCCTCTTATTGTTTTTGGGTATTTTCAACACTGCTGTGATTATGCATTTTTGAGCCGCGACGGTCTATAGGGACAAGGTCTACACACTACCCTCATCAAATCCTGCTATAGAATTAAATTGAGTTTGTTGTTATCGTTATTGTTGTTGATCTTTGTCTTATTGTTGGAAGAAAGTTGTTCCTTGTGGATTATGAAGAATTTTCCTTTTCACTTGATTTATAATGAGTTATCCTTTATCAAGAGAGCGAAGAGCTAGTAAAAGGGAGTGGGCTCGTGAGAGAAGGGCTTGAAAGCAAAATTGGTGAATTTGCCCCCTGCATGCAATATATATTTGAGGCCAATTACAAGTCAAAAAATTCGGTCTCAATGATATGCACCCTAGTAGACTGTACATTTTATCATTTTTCTTGAGACAGTTGGTATTGCGGATTAAATGCGTTCTCGAAATATTACTATATGGCTACCCGACGGCTAAACATATCTCCAATCACTTCACATCGCTTTTGCAATCCAATAGCGAGCTGGAGTCAGGATTTAGAGTTTATGAGTTTTAAATTTCAGTCCTTTTAAACTACTAAATTTTAATTTTTTTTATTGAATTCTAAATTAAAAAGTTGTATATATTCAATGGATTTCTTACAACAAATATATGATTTGGACCAAAACTAATGGGTTCGGACGAACTCGCAACGGCAATGCTAACTCGGTATTTATCTTCAACGCATGCATTCAATGTTGTGACGTCCCAGATAGTTGTTAGAAGTTTCTAGTTGTAGAAGCAGTTAATTTCTTCAAGTGTATGCTTGTATAATTTCTGAATCTTGAATGTAGTAATAGGACCAAGTATTCCAATATTCAAACTTTGATTACAGTTATTCAAACAAAGAGCAATTAGTGACTTTTTGTAATAAGCTGAAATCCTCAAATCTTTTTAAGATCTTGTTAAACATTATTTTATGTGAAAATATGTCAGCACCCATGTAATAAATTTAGAAGTTTATCTACTTCTCTTATTACATTCTTTGTTGTTTAATCGTTTTGGTCTTTTGCTTAAAAAATTGCTAACGGAGTGAGGTAAATTAAAAGACTAATCAAATATCTAGGCGGCTGGTCTTGTCGTCTTATTACGTAATTGGAGCTATTTTCAAGCTAATCTTGAGTTTATTAGAAACAAATCATGGGCACACGTGAACTGATGTGCAATTTTTTATTTTAAAAATTCACTCTTCTCCATGACCAAACCATATTATCCCTAATAGTTTTACATAGTTAACGTTCTGTTAATTGTTATTAACACATAGGTAAGTTACTGATATACAACGTATAAAGTTCAGTGACTTTAACGGGATAAAAATTAATTTTATAACTTTGATACAATTAGTAAAGTTATAGTGAGTTTAACTCATGCACTAGTGTAGCAGTCAAATGAATTATTCGAGCTCTTGTTAATTACATGACATTACATATAGGATGTATTCAAGTCAGTTTTAGACTATGTTCCTTGGCGTTTTGCACCGCCCACAAGAATTTTAACTTTCAAAGGAACTTACTACGTTTTGCAAAAATCCTAGTAACTCTTTGAAACTTTTTGGAAAAATTGTACAAATTCTCATATAACATTAGGTAACATTGTCCTCTATACACACGGAATTCTAGTACGCTCTCTCTTGTATAATCCTTCGATATTTAAAATTTTATTATCCCGATTGATCGAATAAGTCACGTATGGCTCATTAAAGGCAGAAAAATTCCTGTCAAAATTTTCTCTATTCATAATGCTAGAACTAGAAAGTTATGATAAAGAAAAGAGGATTCTATATATCCATTGTATGAATTATTTGTTTACTCTTTAAATTTTGTTTAACATAAAGGAAAAATGTCCAAATTCGGCCTTGTGTAGTATTCGATTTGTCGTATAATTTTTCATCTGTTTACTTTTCATCCATGAGAGCGCGCTGTTAGTTTCATCCAAGAGTACTATAGCTATAAACGACAATTGCATACGAAATTAAGAATTATGACTCTTAAATTTTTGCTTACTTGAATCTTTATTTTATAACTCGCCAGATCAAAAGTTTCCGACCAAATTTTCACTAACTTTGAATAGGCAATAATATTAACTTTTCATATGAAGTACTAAGTGACTAGTTATCAAATAAATTTAAGGTCTGTCATTAAGTTTTGGTTTTAAGCCACCTTTGTTTATTTAGGTATGTGTTATTTGGTAGAACTCAGGAGCAAACGCGTCACTATCTCTAATTTGCGTTCTTCAAAGGAATAGTCATGGATAACAGGAAATCGATTTTACTATATTGGAACTGTAAACCGAGTTACAGCTTGTTTGGAAAGTTGTTAGATATTGTATTGTATCGTATTGTTACTTGAAATACGATATTTGTTTTGATTGTTACTTAAATTTTATTGTATCGTATCGTTAAATCTGTCGTTACGTAACAACTAAATGTGTCATTTTATGTAACGACCGATTTGGTGTGGTCGCGTTGTTACCTTGTCTCTTTCTCTCATCTCACTCTTCATTATTATTAAATAATTTTATTTTATCATTTATCCTACCTTTTTATATTATAATTTTACCCTGTATCATAATTTATTTTTTATAACATTGCAAGTTTATTATTCATATTGATGGTGAGTGATATATATCATGAAACAACGACAAACAATACGATACAATACAGTACAATATAATACGATACCTTATGAAACGATAAATAACAACCATCCAAATAGTGTAACATAATAAAACTCTAATTATAAGAGTTATGTTATTAGATTGACCATTTTAGAAAGGCAATAATGAGTAGAATTACAGCGTGCTTCGACAGCCACAAAGAGACACAAGTTACAAAGCATGCATTTGCAATGAAAATTTGGAAATATAATACAAATGATATTTTGGAATTACAAGCAAATGTGAAAATTAACGAAGAACAAAAAAAGAAAAGAAAGCAAATTCAAGTATTTGAATTGTGATCTGTTTTAGTTCCAATTCAAATTCTTGATCCGCACGCCCAAAAGTAAGAAATAACAAGTTACAACTCTAAAATAACTTGAGGCAATGACAAAGAAGCTAGAGAACGGTGCTTGGTGAAGCAAGCGTGCCAGGGCTCAGAAGAATAGAAGAGCACCATGCAAAAGAAGCAGGCGATAGAGGGAAATTAGCCAGCGGACTGCATGATCCAAAAATATTATCTGATGGATTTTGAGGCGTTTCATGTGATCTTTCTTGTGCTTCAATTGTTGACTCATTGTAGGCCGCACTAATTGATTCAGCTCGGTTGTTTGAGGAGGAAGAAGGACGAAGGAACTCTCGCCATTCTGCAGCAATGCTGTTTCTTGGTAATGAAACTGGTGAGAGATCAAGTGGAGGAGGAGCCACATCCTTCAAACGCCTTGAATTGGAATTATTAGAACTAGAGTCGGAATCAGAGCTCGAATTATTGAAAACAGATTGAAACTCAGGTGCAACAGTGAGCATTTGAACAACTTCCTTGAAATTAACAGGTTCCACTCGGTAGATTTTTGGAGGTGTTGGTGGCAACGGTGCAATTGGTTGTTTTGTCATTGGTTTTAATGGGAGCCTACGAACTCCATGAAGTGAGGAATGGTATGAAGGTAATGCTTTGTTTTTCTTTACTTCTTGTTGATATGGAATAGAATTAGAGGAAGAAGAAGAAGAAGAAATAGCTGCATATGAATAAGAATCCATTTTTATGTTCAAAACTATGTTGCAAGTTTGTCTTGATAGGAAACTTTACTAAGAATACATTTTGCGGCTATTGCTTTTGCTTATATATATAGAGAGAAGGTGACAAACCTGAGCAACTTGTTCTAAAATGATACCTTATAGATAAGAAGATTAAAATAATAAAAAGAAGGAAAAGAAGAAGAAAAAGAAGAAGGATGAGGGAGAGATAATCGAAGACAAGTTTGTCTTTAGCGTCGGCTAAATATGGCTGAATACGATGTAACATTACAACTTGCCATTGTCTGTCTGCTTGTACTGTTGTTATTTGACCTCTTATTATAAAATTGCCTCCATTATTGTTTTTTTCTTACACATATGACTTTGAATCGCTATGTGCTATCTTATAGTACTAAATCACAAAGTGTTGATTCAACATCTAAGTTTTTATATGTATTATGTTTTTCGCAATTATCTGGGATGTGTTTACTGGTGGTGTAAACTGATTGCTTAGCCGCCAGGCCCTCGGGCCTCAACCTGATCTCTGCTCTCTCTGTCTTCTCTATCCCCAATGAATAAAGTTGCAGCCAAGTTTAACTGCTTTTCACGAATATATACATTATCGGTTACTTAAAAAAATAGTTATATATGACTGTTAAATATACTGTAATAGCCCAATATTTTCAAAGTGAATTTTTAATTTTTTTCTTTAAATATAATTACTAATTTTAACGAGATACATATCGAAACAGTTATTGATTATATTAGTATAATATGTTGTAACACCTCAATATCTTTTTTTTAAGTAACTATATGTAACAACCTAGTCCACTACTAATATTGTTTGCTTTGGGCCTAGGTCCGCACGGCTTTAAAATGTATTACTAGAGTCTAGGGTCTAAGTATTGGTTACTTATATACCCAACATCTCTCCCGTATGTTGTCGATGCGGGATTCGCCTAGGGTGTCACATACACTCTCCATCCCCTTCCTCTTATTTTTCCCACCACCATTCAAGGTTGCACGCGGAGTGCCTATGATACCATATGTAACAGCCTAACCCACTAGTTATATTTTTTGCTTTAGGCCTAGGCCCGCACGACTTTAAAACGAGGTTCTACGGTCTAAGGCTTGTTTACTTATATACTCACCATCTCTCTCGTGTTTTGTCGATGGGATTCACCTAGGGTATCACATATAAAGTGTTATAAGTGACATGAAAATACGGTAGATTACCTGCAAGGACATGTTAAAATACAACTACAACAGCATATACACTGTAATTTCACAAGTTGAGTCTGGTGAGTATAGTGTGTATGCCGGTGTTATTGCTAGCTATCTTGTGAAATGCAGAGATTGTAATGTATTGATTAGTAAATCCGAATTTGCGCGGGGAAGTCCAACAATGGTGGAGTGAAGCGCTCAAAAAAATCATAATCACAACAATTGTGAAATGCAGAGATTGTAATGTATTGATTAGTAAATCCGAATTTGCGCGGGGAAGTCCAACTATGGTGGAGTGAAGCGCTCCATGACAAAGTTGGATCCATACCCAGGGGTCGAACTCAAGACCTCCGGTTAAGGGTATACACAAGTCGGTTTGGTTTGAATTTTTTAATTACCAAATCAAACCAAAGGTGTCGGATTTTTAAATCTTTAAACCAAATCAAACCAACAAAGTTAGATTTTTCAATCTCGATTTTTTCTCAAGTTTTTTGATTTTTTTCGTGGTTTCGAGTTTTTTTTCATAGCACAAAATATGTAACTTATGCTCCAAACTTGTGAACTATATAATGTATTTCTTTAATCCTAGCAGGATACAACTATATAATGTATTTTTTTAAAAAATAACACAATAATACGAGATAAACCATAACATTGTACTAAAATAGTAAATAACAAAGATAATAAAATCGCATAAAATAATTGTTGAAAAGAGCAGTAGTAGCAATACTCTTACATAGGATGTGGGAGTTGTACATGCCAGTTAAAGTCAGTTAAATTTAGATGTATGGTTAGTTGAGTAGTCAAAATAATTAATTGTACTGAGCGAGTAGGCAGTATAAATAAGGATAGACATACACGTATATAGTGAGTCTTTTATTTTTTCAATATCAGAATAGAAAATTCCTCTCTTTCTTCTCCCTCTTCGTCTGCATCTTTCCTCCACGATCAATTCAGCTCAAATGCTCCCTTTCAATATGGTATCAGAGCTATAGATTCATGGCGTTTCCGAGCTGAATTGTTGTGGAATTGTTGAAGAATCAACTCTATTGTGTCAAAGATTTGAGAGAGTTGAGGAATTAGTTCGTATTAGCCCTAGAATTTCATGATCATTGTGACAGAAGTTGTTTTGCCCTAAAATCCACTAATATTTACAATCGAAGGCCTTTGTTCATTCCTACCTTTATATTGAGCTGAGTTTTGATTTCGAATTGATGAGAAATTGAATGTGAAAATGCCACAATCTTGAGAAACTGAGAAGAACAATGGAGAGAAGTTCACAGATATTCATCCTATGCATCCTCTTTACATGCATCCATCGGATAGTCCAGGTAGTGTTTTAATTCCACATCAATTAATGAGAATTGAGAACTATACAACATGGAGCAATTCTATGAAAGTTGCATTATTGGCGAAGAACAAATTAAGGTTCATATATGGAACATGTTGTAAGGAACATTACAAAGGCGACTTAGAGCATCAGAGGGAACAGTGTAATGCTTTCGTTTTGTCATGAATCACTAATTTTGTCTCAAAATAATTAGCAAATGGAATGATGTATTCAACTAATGCTACCATTGTGTGCATGGATCTTAAGGAACGATTTCACAAGAAGAACTTGACTAGAATTTATCAATTGCTCCGTGAAATGCACAATAAGTTAGGGTACATTCCTCAGTATCGAAGTATTACTCAACATTGAAGAGTGTTTGGGATGAATATTGGTCCATGGTACCTTTGCTAAGTGACTGTGCAAAGCGAAAAGAGTATGCAGAACATATGGAGCAACATAGACTTGTACAGTTCCTAATGGGATTGAACAAGACATATGTCCAAGCTAGGAGTCAAGTGTTGCTAACAGTTCCTGTACCAACCCTCAATCAAGACTACAATATGATCATGCAGGATGACAGCCAAAGGATTCAATCCAACATGATATCGCATCTTACACCAACACTACAATAAATAAACTTGAATGATCCTACAGCTCTAGCTGCCACACAAAACAACAGGTTCAAAAGAAACAATGGACAATAATGTGATTATTGTAATACGAAAGGACACAGGAGAGAAAACTGCTACAAGTTGGTGGGATATCCACCAATCACAAATTCAACAAAAGGAGAACCTATGATAGACCATAAAGCTCAGGAGGTAACATAGGATATTCAGCTAACAATGTTAGTCATGTTGAAGAAACATAAGCAAATGGACCATCAAGGATTAGCAGCATGCTAATTCACCTTAGAGCAATATAATCAGCTTTTGAAGTTGATTAACCAAGAACTAGCAGTTGCAGAAGTCAAGGTTAACATGGTAGGTGTTAGCCCCTAATATTGAGACGTGGGGGATGTCAGGCAAAACCAATATCAAGGGCTTGTACATTGCCCCTTAGCATAGGTTTATGCAGGCGTTGGTAAGCAATGTGCAGAGCTGGGAGTGTGCCTAAGTTAGTGCATGGACTTGGGCCGGTCATCCAGACAAGGCGTCTTGAGTGATGGCAATGCATCCTTGATTGTGGGCGACGACTATGGAAAATGAAGGCGCATGGCATTTGGCTAAGGCATGTGAGCGGATTAGTGGGACGACAAAGTTGTGACAAGTATATTGTCATAAGCTAATGTGCGAGGCATGTTCCAAAGACAAGGCAAGGCAAGCTAAAGACAAAGTGTGGGCAAAGTTGTGGAACAAGTGTGCAAGTCATGTGACTGTGAAGAAGTGTGATGTGCATGTATTGTGGAAGTTTAGCCACGTGTAGTGCACATGTAGCAGTTGGCTAAAATGTTGAAGATGGGCTCATTTCATGGGGAAATGATTTCAGATCGTGGCTAAGTGTTGTATGCTTGTTTTTAGGCTTGGCATATGCCAAGCACATTGTTGTAACTACCCATTTGTAATTGCCCCTTGTAATCTCCCATAGGCAACCCATTTATATGTGTGGTATTTCATTGGTTTAAGGAAAGTAAGCATATGTGAGCATTCCAACTGAGAGCCCTTTGTATATTCGACTAGAATAAATAAAAGGTTGGTTTTACCCGTACTTTTGTGTGTTGCTTACGGTTTACAAGTCCAAAACAATTCTAAGTCCTAAACTGTGTGCGAAAAAGTAAGGCTGAGTAGCTTGAGAGTCAGGCTGCTGCCGTGCAGTGCCGTTTGCCAAAATTTGGCCATGTAACAACTGGTACCAGAGCTTTGCTCGTGATTTGTGACCATGGCTAATGGATCCACTTCGGACTTGCGTGATCACATGCAAACATTGGAGGCGCTGATTGGTGTGACTGACGATCCTTTGGATTTGGATGATCTAATTACTGAGATCTATCATCTAAAGGATGTAATGAATTAGCTTTGAACTATTCAACAAATGTGTGAGGTCACAAATGTTCAAGTTGAAGATCTGAAAAAGGAGAATGAAACTCTTAACCTGGAAATTACTGTTCTTCGAAGGGCTTTGGCTGCTCCTGGCCACGGCAGTGAAGAACTTTCTAAGGTTAAGATCCCAGAACTGAAGACGTTTAGTGAAGCACGTAGTGTAAAAGAACTGGAGAACGTTTTGTGGGATATGGAGCAATATTTTGTTGTTTCCAAGATTCCAAACGGAGAGAAAGTAACCATAACAAGTATGCACCTAACAGGAGATGCTAAATTATGGCGGAGAACTCGCATGGAGGGAAAACCCAAGATCGATACATGGGAGAAACTCCGGAAAGAAATGAAGGACCAGTTTTTACCTAGCATTGCTTCTTGGCTTGCTAGGGATCGCTTGAAACGTATGCGGCAAACCGAAACAGTTCATGACT